AGAGGCACTGCAGTATTGGCTTCTGGGAAATGAAGTCCATTTGGAAGGCAATTACAGTATAGGCTTATTGAAAGAAAACTACAAAATGGCGGCTCCTGTCCTAATTTATTTATTTATTTATTTTTACTTTATCCCAACCACGTGAGTACAATAATATTACTATAAAGTTGACTGTCATGTGTCGTGTACTGTACTGTACAATTTTTTTTGTACAATCCTACTGTACATTTACAAACCGCAATAGAGCGAGTCCGAGAATGTCGAACCACGAAGTAGCGAGGTTCTGCTGTATAGTTAATCTGAGAGTTATTAGAGTCACACTAGATGGCTGGAGATTCAACTGCTGGGTCGCAGGTACTTTCAAATGAAGGGAGCCCTTGAGGTGAAGAATACTGACTCTCTCTCTCTGTCCCTTCATATGGGGGGAGAAGTGTGAGAGTGTGTGTTAAAACAGCTTGTTAACACGTACACCACTGCCTTGGCTGGGACTCCCTAATTATTCCATACCAACAAAAGGCCACGATGAAGAGAGAGCAGTGATAAACACATTTTCTTAGTCTTCCCCTCTTTTTACTTCAATATGTGTGCGGGGGTGGGGGGTGATGCGGAGCAGCTGTGACAGTAAACATGTTTATGAGAGGCTAATAAAAAGCAGGTGGTGATTGGCTGAGATCCTGCCAGTAATAAGTATTTGTACATATTCAGACGCAGCCGTCCGCAACATATTGTGTAAAAACTTTGCGTTGAGGCCTTTTAATAGTTTTTTTTTCGTTGTAATTCTCCAGCAGAAGTGATTTTCAGTCGCAGTCTGATGTTTTCTTTGGATAACCCCAGAGGCAGCAGTGGTGTGTGTGTGTGTTCTGCATTTTGTCTTTATTTGTAAACTTGCTCACTCGTATGTGAACCAAAGTGGGTATGAGTACATCTAAGCGTGTTTGGGAATGTTTGGATAATTCCGTCCGTGCGCAGCGTTCTCCGCACTGGGCTTGTTTATTTGTACATCTCTGTGTGTGTGTGTGTGTTTGGTTTGACTCGAGGCACTGTGGGGATTTTTGTTTTTTTTTGTTTTTGTGGGCGTTGTTTGTAAACATCAACAGCTGTAAGTTTTATTTTATTGCTGCTTTATTTTACGACATTATTCCCAGATGGCTGCAAAAAGCTTGCAATCTTTTTTTTTCGTTGCTCCCACCACACATCCTGCGCTCAGTCAGTTCACCACCACATGTTTCTGCCTCCATAAGCAAACAAACAACTGACGCAGGTCCAAATTGAAGACAGGACAGAATCCCCATCTTTTTTTTTTTTTGTTTAAAATACATATTTTCAGTCCAAAAGTCCTCTGTTGAAGCGATCGGAGTGAGTTATTCAAGTTGGTGACGGGAGGAGTTTTTTTTCTCGTTTGTACCGGCTCTGTGACACTGTGGGTGAGCACTCCCATATTTCTCTTTAATTAAGCCAGGAAAAACCTTGTAGTACAGCCAACCCGGCTCGTGTAGCCACTTATGTTTTAATTTAATTACCTGTCCACTTTGATAATTATTCCCCCTGATTAACAGGGGAGGAAGGGTTCCTAAATGGGATGGAAGATGGGTTAGAGGGCCAAACTGTGCGTTTTCCTTCTTTCACCAGAAAATGAACAAGAACCAGGGCGCATAAAGCAACAGTTCTGATTGTTTGTGGTTGTGTTCTGTGGAAAGGCTACACTTTATTAATATTTCACCTGTTGATAGTTCTTTGAATGACCTCAGTTTGGAGAAATAAAAGTTTCATTCAAAGTGACGAGCTAAGGGTTAGCTCGAACAAGGTCAAAAACAAAATGGGATGCCTCTGATTTTAAACAGCTCTGATCACAAAACTTTCATTGTGCTTCATGCACAAACAATAATTTTAAACCTTTAAATATATATGGTGAGCTCTAGGTCCACCTACTTTATGCTGAGACCCATCTAATCAAATATGAAAAGAAGGGTTTAATTATAAGCCTAATTAATTAGAGTAATTCTGCAGTTTGCAGAGATGCAGCAGACAACAGGAACAACATGCAGACACACACTTGTCATGTACTTTTAAAGCTTTGATTAATTTTCTGGCCCAGCCACTCTCAGTCATGTCCACCTTTACTTTTATTTCTGGCTACACCACTGATATGTGGCTTGAATTATGGTTACATAATAATATGTTTGTTCAAATAGCTGTGTAAAGTAAAATGCAGTGGTGGACATGGTTCTGCTAATCCGCTAATAGCAGAGCTAATGTTTTATGTAGCGAATGAGTGTTTTTGCCATTTTTTTTTAAATCTATAGCAGAAAATTAGCTCCTGCTAAATTTAAATCCAGCAAATTCAAGTCTGCTAATATTTTTTAATGAGTTTTCTCTGCACTAAAATCATATGGGACGATGGAGATTTGCACAGAGCAATGCTATGCTATGCAGAGCTAAGCACCATACTGTGACACTCACAGTACCTTTCATTCATATATATACATACATAGTGCTCTCATATCTACCACAAACAGTCTCTGACTCATGGTGTCAGTTTACAGACAACGACAGAGACTTTAACATAAATGCCAACCCAAACCAGAACAGGAAAATAACACAAAGAAAAAAAAAAAATCATTTTCACACTCATAAATATTGTAAACATCCAGCAACATTGCACACATAATTCCTACCCAGCATGCTTTGCAACATTCACACTGTCTCTGGGGTGTGACTCTCTCACACATTTCACACATCTATACTTTAAGACACGCAGATTTATTATACAGAGAATTTTAATTATGAAATTTTGTAGTTACTTTATAAAAATAGTTAATCACAAAGAGGACTGCTAAAGTGAGTTAATTCATTATAGTAAATGACACGAGGGCGATGTCCAACACACCTTGAATGCATCACTCTGCTTCAGCACAGCAGAGCCCTGCTCTGCCTCTTTGGTTCTGACGTACTAGAATAATTTCTAAAATCTCACCTCTGAACGGGACATGGACGCTTCGCATGCGATTTATGAACCGTTTTGAGTTTTGTTCACTTACACCGTTGTCACATTACAGACAAGCTTCCATTGTCAACAACAGCTGTGTATGATAAAAGTTAGTTCTTTAGCATTAGCTTCCATAATGTTTTTTTTAATCTGTTTAGCAGTTTAGTGTTAGCAAAGCTAACTTTTAGTTAGCAAATTAGCGGTTAGCGAAGCACACTTTTTGATTAGCTGTGCCCACTACTAGTAAAGTGTATAAAATGTTGAAAATGATGATTTAAAACAACAACAATCCACTTTGGTCTTGAGCTCAATCAGACTAGCCATTTGCTCATCAATCTGGTAAGAGTCAAAGTCTACTTTTCCTAACTGAGGTTGTTCAAAGAGCTATCTACAACAGGTAAGATGCTTATGACCTTTCCTCGCAACACCACTTTAAAAAGTTTGAGCTATCCCTTTAAAAAGCTACTGTCAAGTTTTATAATTGCTAAGAGCCATTCGGCTCGGAGCATGTTCAGACGGCAAACAACTCAGAATATTTGTGGGCTTTGTGTTATATTTTTAAATGCAACCATGTGCCAAAACAAATAACAACAAGTAAAACTTGATTCTGCATGCACGACGAGGTGATTTATGTTGTCAGTCAAAATGCCAACAGTTACACAACAACAAGCGCATGATGGATTCAGTTGTCTCCCTCGGTTTTGTTTCTCACATATTTTCAGCTGCAGGATGCAGCATGTTTGTTAGTTCACAAATATGAACAGTTTGTAACTTTGTTTCAGTCACACTGTCTGATCCTTGCAGATCAAATGTAAAAAAAAAACACTCACTTTCCTGATCACAGCTTCTTGGAAAAGCACCGTCGCGTTCCAGCTTCCCACATTAGCACCCATCAAATCTCCATAGACGTATAAGACAGCGTCCCCCTGATAGGTGCTCGTGTACACATATTATTTTAGTGGTATTGATCGTACTGATGAACGTGTTGTGATTTACTGCAGTCGTGGCTCGTCGTTGGGTGGTGTTGTGATGGACTGCCATCATTTTTCCAAAGATAAAAGCTTTCGGGGAAGAAAGGCAGAAGGGCAGACTCTCGTTTAACAGCCGAAGCAAAATATCTATTCCTGAATCTTCTTTTGAGTTATGGCTCGTTTCCTTCGTGACAAGTATGATGTAATTTCCAAATTCCATCAGTAATCTCAACACTGATTATGCTGTCAATTAGTAAATGAATGTGGTGGCAAAAAAAAAAAAGAAGAAGGTGGTAATAACTCAGAAACGAGTTGTCCAGCTTCCAAAACACATAAAGGACATGGTGAGGTAGGCAGAGTGTAAAACTTATTTAATCACAATATAAATGTCGAAAGTTAAGGGCAGGAAAGTGAATCCACACTTATCTTTGAATTGAATGGAGCATTGGGATGACATAATCTTTTCCTAGAGTAAATAAATGTTTTTATCCTTTACCGTTAAATAAAATTAAAGTATTTGTATCATAAATTATGTCAGGAGGGAGACTTCTTAAAAAAAAAAAGTTTCATTTTTAGTTTAAGGTTTTGAATTATTGTCTGGTTTGCTGAAGTTGTTTAAGAAACAAAAAGGAAAGGGAGCAAAGTGGGTGAGAGTGCTCAGGCTGTTTGGGTGATGGAGCTTTGTTTGTGGCGGTTTCTGGGCTCAAACTTTGTGCAGCCTTTAACATCTGTTCCTCTGTGCCTCCACAATGCAGCTCACCAAGGATGCAAAGCGAGGTCAAGAGATCAGTGCCTTCCCCTCACACGCACGCGCGCACAGAGCGAGAGAGAGCGAGAGAGAGAGAGAGAGAGAGAGAGAGAGAGAGAGACTGGCTGCTGCTGTGCGCCTCAACTTTGCGCGGATGAAAACGCGCACCTGCTTTAGAGGCATTACGGTAGCGCGGCGGGCTTCGACACACACACACGCATACACACACACTTCCACACGTACGCACACACGCGCACAGAGCACCAAAGTGATTCAACCCTGATTTCCAGCGATCGAGCAAGCAAGCAACAGACAGGATGCCAAAAAGTGCAGACCGGTGGAGAGCTTTCACGCGCTGAGAAGAAAAGTCCTCCCGAAAACGATCGGCCGGTGGAGGGAGAGAAAGAGAGACAGAGAGAGAGAGAGAGAGAGAGAGAGAAGGAAAGAAAGAAAGACGCAAAACAAGACGTGGTTTCTCGGCGACAACTTGCGCGCAGCGCCAGCGGAGTTTGAGCGGCAGCATTGTTCTGACTTCACTCCAGAGGGGCCACTCCGAGGAGAGGACGCACACAAAAGGACAAAAACTTTAAAAAAAGAGAAAGAAGGAAAGAAAGAAAGAAAAAGAGAGAGGACTAAAGGAGCCACGCTTTTGGCGTTTAAAGTAATGCGCTCGCAGATCCTATAGATTTCTCCTGTCTCCCTTTTCTGTTTCTCTTCTCTTCCTATCTTTTTTTTTTCTTCTTCTTCTTCTTCTTCTTCTTCGTCCAGTCGGTTTGTGTCCCC